GTGTGTGTGAGCGAGTGTGTGTGTGTGTGATCGATTGTGTGTGATCGATTGTGTGTGTGTGATCGATTGTGTGTGTGTGATCGATTGTGTGTGCGAGCGAGCGAGTGTTTGTGAGCGTGTGTGTGTGTGTGCGTGTGCGAGTGTGTGTGTGTGGTGTGGGAGTGTCAAAGGTTAGTTTCGTGTCTGTGTGTGTGTCTGGGTGTGGCAGAGGTTAGTTGAGTTTAAGTGTGTGTGTGAGTGTGTGTTTGTGAGTGTGTGTGTGTGTGTGAGAGTGTGTGTGTGTGTGACAGGAAGTAAACAGGACTGTGTTTCCCGTATAACGCCGTAACTCGCTGCTTCACTGTCATAGTACGATGCATCGCCGAAGAAATCATCTAGCTAGTCACGACTGTTTCCTGAAACCATATTATATAAAAATGTTTTTTTTATTGATTTTTATTTTATAGATTTTAAAGAATTACAACTACAGTCAGAGGGGTACAATGAGTGAACAAACAACGACATGTATAAAGAAACACAGTATTATCGCAAATTTGTCGTTCAAGCCCGTTGGTTAATGATGTCATGAACTTGGTGGAGAAATAACTTCTTTATATGAATCGTTTGAGATCAAATTAATGCTAGATGTTTTGCTATAAATTACGGACATGGCATCTGAGGAATATTTCTCTTTAAAGGAATATTTGAAATATTTGCTTTATTTCCAGATTCAATCATAGGCTCGTTCTTACATACTAGAGCACTCTTCAAAAACAACACTTTAAATCTCTTGACAAACTAAAATATGTATTCAAAATAAAAGATACAGGTTGCACTGAATGTCAGCTTGCTTATTTTGCTCCAGATCAGGGTTTATTAAGTCTGCATGTCATGCAAACAAGAAACTGCTTCTAACCACAGGAGATCTGTCGCTCACACACACACACACCTCTGCGATGCTGTTTGCGAATGTTCGTTGGAACGATGGTTTCGGGAAACACCGACGCGCTAAACTGATGATAATTACGCAACTCACGACCATAGTTGTCTAACGATGCGTTCAGAAAACACAGTCCAGAGCGTTACTGACAGACTGGGAAGAGAGGAGCCGCAACAATGGAGAATATGAGGAGAATAATCAACATTCAAGCAGGAAAACCTGTTCTAGTAGAGCCTGAAACTACATCAAGACTTTGTAAAATGCCTCTTCATGGGATAACGCCCCAAATCAAACAATATGATTGCATTTGAACAGTTAAAGTGCTCGACATTAAAGTGTGTGTGTGTGTGTGTGTGTGTGTGAGACACTTCAGTGAGTTCGTGTGCTGAAAGGAAACGGGCAAAGTGGCCCAGCGTCGTCTCTGGTTGCCGTAGAGACGCTCTTGCCATTGATTCGCAGTCAGTGCTGATGATGTCATAACCGAGAGTGTGACACCCTGGCGAATGGAGCTGTCAATCAAACGTCTGGGTCACAGTGGTGCAGCTTTCTGCTCTCTTCTGTGACGCTTTATACGGATGCAAGGGCTGAAATGTACTTATTAAATGTCTTCTGAGTGCATAATTTCCCAGAATTCCTCAGCGACTTTGAAATATAGATGCTTCATGTTAAAATAAGTTGTATTGATATCAAAGAGTGACTTTTAGGTTCATTTTAGGGACATCTAGCTGTTAAAAAAGGACTCTGTGAGGTTTCTGTGCTGGTTTTAGGAAGTAGATCAAGTCTTTTTTACAACTTCACAACTTTTGACTAACAGGTCTTGCCGTGTTTAAGTGCACGTGCTGCTTTTGGGAGACTGTTGTGGCGGTTATCAAAGTTTCATGTAAATATGCAACATTTTTGCTGTGTTATTATTGCCTCACTTTCTGTTTTCACCAGCAACTTTTGTTTAAGTGTTTCTGGAGAGTCGAGATGTTGCTGTTGTTGAACTTGAGTCGAATGTTTGAGTAGAATATTAATATAAGTATTAATTAAAGAAGTATATAACTAAATTAACTAATAAATAACTAATTGAACAGTTTACATAAAAATGTCAATTTTGATTTCCTCAGGCTTTTTCAAAACATGTATTACTCTTTTATTTATTTAGTATTTATTCATATTTTAAATTAGCTTTTATTTTTATAGAAAATAATTTTCATGTTATTTTTTAGTTTTAGGAATTTTGCTTTGTGCTTTTGTCATTTTTATCAGTTTTTTAATATATATATATATTTAGCTTTAATGTATTTTTCTCTTCGGTTTTAGAATTTTTAGTTATTTTTCTGTTATTTATATTGTACATTATTTTAGCTTTTTTTAAATAACAAAATGATTTTTCCATCATCGATTTAGGTTTAGTTAATGAATCTGATTGGTTAACAAATTTTCTAAGGTGTTCAATTATATTCAGGGAAACTCACGGCTAAAGTAGTTCCAGCAGGTTTTGACTCAAAAACCTTTGAGTTTCATATCACTTCGCCAAATGATTTCTGTAACTTCAAAGGTCTTTACAGCCGACGACAACAGCAACAGAACCAAAAC